GAAGGAAGGAAGGAAGGAAGGAAGGAAGGCAGGCAGGCATCTTGGGGGAAATCCAGCAGGATGCCCCTTCTAGCTCCACAGAAACTGGGGTGCTTCTGGTCATTTATGTGTAAGTTTCTGGCAATTCCCCAAAGGAGATCGAGGTGAGTTTAAAAATGAAGAAATCAAAGACTTCACCCCAGGCTCCCATCTGTCTCTCACGAGAAGGTTCCTTGGGATTGTCCCAAAGGCCACACTGACTTGGGTCTCCAATGTCTGACCAGAGCAACAGGCCCCAAACCAGGCCCCAGAGCCTGGAGGCTGCAGCAGCCCCTCTTACCTCCTGAGACAGGGCGGCTCAAAGAGCCGTACCACGGCCAAGCCTAGTGCAGCAGCTTCTGGAGTCAGGGTACCCGCCCACCCCGGCCCCAGGCCTGGGAGTACACACAAGCCCACCTACGGTCACCAGCTCCTTTATCTGGCAGTTGTCACATACAATGATGAAGGTCTGCTCTGCCTTTTCTAGGCTCGTCGGGAGGAACAAGACCTGGCGGAGAGAAGGGCTGCCCTGTTACCTCCCTCCTCCTCTCAGACACATACCCTCCCTCCCCTTGTTCTCCACTTCTCACTTCCCTCCCTGCTGCCCGCCCCTCACCCCCCACCTTCTCCCTAAGGCCAGGGGGTTCTGCCAAGACCCCACTCCAGACTAATGCAAGAAGCATGTTGAAAGGCCTGAAGAAAAAGTTCACAGAGACTGAGATGCAAACAGCTCTTCAACACATGAACACGTTTAACCTCATTAATGATAAAAGAAATGTAAATGAAAACCACCCAGAAAAAGTTTTCACCCTTCATACTGGCAAAGAGCAGAAAGCCGGCAATCAGAAATGCAATGAAAAGAGAGCTGAATTTTCTTCAAAATCATCTGGAGGGGAAGGGCGGGGTTTGGCTGGAAGGGACGGAGGGGCGTAGATGCGATGAGGTTGGCGAAGAGTTGATCGATGTTGACTGGGTGCTAAGGACTGGAGTGAGTTGTTAAACTAACCTCTCCATTTTTGTATATGCTTTAAAATACGCATGACAACAGGTTTTCTCTTTTTTTTTTAAGTTTTTCTTTTACGTTTGATAACACACTGTAATTGGCAAGGGTGTGAGGGAACAGACACCCTGACATACCCATGTGGTGGGGATTTGGGCAACGTGAATCACAGTTCTGACCAGCAGAGACCCCTGAGTCGGCAAACCCGCTTCAAGGCCTGGAACCTGCCGGGAGACTCATAGTTGGACAGAGTGATGTATGGATTTGCCGAAATGGCCAGAGATCAGAAAGAATCGTCGTGGCCCTCAGTAGGGGACAGCTGACCTGAGCTATGGATCATTGGAGCAGTGGGATACTATGCAGCTGTGACAAATAGGAGAATGCTGTTCAAGATAGAGCAGAACAGTGAGCGGGCGGAACAGAGTATAGCGTGGGCAGCGATCTGTGGGAAGCACTTCACTCTATATAGTTGCAGCTTTTGATTTTTCATCATGTGAATTTGTTCCTTATTTGGAAATATGAATACATTTTTTAAAAGATTTTATTTGACACAGAGAGAAAGAGACAGTGCACAAAGGGGGAGTGGCAGGCAGAGGGAGAAGCAGGTTCCCTGCTGAGCAAAGAGTCCGATGCGGGACTCGTTCCCAGGACCCTGAGATCATGACCTGAGCCGAAGGCAGACACGTAACTGACTGAGCCACCCAGGCGCCCTGGAAATATGAATACATTTTAAAACAAACCCCAAATAATCAATAAATAAAATACACAAGGGATGCCAAGGGGAAAAACCTCCCCTTGACTCCTCACTGCTCTCCAAAGAGTCCTGCTGCTCCCCTCTTCCTTTCCCTGGGGATCACAGGAAGATGGGATGAGGGGATGTCCTGGCCTGGTCAGGGGTGACCAGCCCCAATTCCTTAAAGCCAGACCATAAGGTACTGACAAGGCCTGGACCAGGCAAGAGGACTCAAGCCATCAGCAGGTGAGGTCTGACAAAGCCCTACAACGCCCTGAATTGGCTTCATCCCAACCCCAAAAGCCAGGTTCTTATCGGGGATCAGATTAGTACAGACATGAACAAGAAGGCATCACTCCAGGACTCCCAAACGAGATCCCATCAGGCACTTGACACTGGAAAGCAGCTAATAAAGGAAGCCTGCCCTTTCCCTATGGCAAAGCAGCTTACAGCAGTGGTCCTCAAACTCTGCTGCACCCCTGCAAGGCTTTAAAAATCCTATGCCTCAGGCAAACCCCACACCCATTAACTCAAAACCTCAGGACTGGGGCCAAGACACCGGTGCGTTCGCAAGATTCTCAGGAGATTGCAGTAGGTAGTTTGAAAATCCTATGGCTCTGGGCTTAAACCCCCTTCCCTAGAAACCAGACAGTGTTCACTCTTGAATGTCATGCCTCCTCCAACAGGCTAGTGAGGAAGGCTCAGAGTCTGATCGCTGGACCGGGGAGTCAGGGAGGGCGAAGGTGTGGAGCAAAAGGGGCAGGGAAACATCATCATTCCTCACAGACTGTGCCGGGGATCAGTGAGCAGGTGTGAGGAGCCAAAGGGACCACTGAAAGAAGCTGGTTAGGAAAGGACAAGCCCCACAGCCAGCAGATCCAAGTCCGGGAGCTTTGGCAGAGGTCCAGAATAAGGCCGAAGGAAGGAAGGCAGGCCTGGCCAAGCCTATAACTGAGGACAAAAGAGGAAAAAGAGGACAAAGCCAGGCACTAGATCTGGTGGGGGTGGAGGGAGGTGTCCAAGAGAGACCAAAGAACCAAAGGAAGATTCTGGAGGCAGCTAAGATGGGAGGGGTCCCAGGCTAATGGTGTGGACAAGCAGCATTGGGGGATCATGATGCAATGCTAGGGCTATCTGCACTTGCTTTGTAAGAGGGGTCATGAGAGAGTCAAATGACATCGCCCCACAGAATGTAAGAATGTTCTCCTACACAGAAACCATCCTGGAACGGGAGTGGGTATTCAAGTCCCGAAAACACAGAGGCGAATGAAATCACGTAAGTAGTTGAGGAAACAGCCATGGCCAATCGAAAAGAGGAGAAACTATACGTGATGTCTAATTACCTACCTCCACACATACGGCCTGCCCCGGAGCCAGCTCAAACACCGAAGGCAGGATTCCAAAGGGACGTTGCTCAATGAAGCCAATGGTTGCAACAGCCTTAAAGAAAAGCGGAAGATTACACAAGAGCATGGAAGAGACTGTAAAATCCAGCACTCCGATTACACACTTCTCTCCTCCAAACATCTCTTTTGCAATCTGAAGGATCTTAAGGATCATCCAGTACACAGCCAATGAAGAAACTGAGGCTCGCCCATTCCCCAAGCACTCCCTCCACCTTCCCTGGGCCGAAGGTGCACAGAACACCCATGAGGAGCTGAGCCCTGGTAGGAGGCAGAAGGAACACCACTGACATGAAGCAGAAGCATGAGAGGAGGCCTCGCCCGGGGGGAGGGCTCCCAAAGCATAGTCCTTTCCCCACCCCAGCGCCCTGTGTGGCTGCCTCAATCCCCGATGGGTGGTTCCATCCCCTCCATCCCCGATGGGTGGCCCGGGGTCGAGGGGAGCTGCCACCTCAGCGCGCTAGGGACATAAACCCACACCTAGAGGACCCTGGCAGGCAACAGAAGTGAGTGAAATGGTCTTGGAACACGCAGTCCTCTGGATCTATCACCTGCTTCCCAGAGACACGGTTACAGAGAAACAGAGCTGAAAAATAACCGTGAGCACGCGGTCCATGGTGCCGGCGCTCGGCTCCAGCCAAGGGGCCACGGGGAATCCTGGCCCAGCGCTGCACATCTTCCAATTTTTCTTTTCTCCTTTTCCTTTTTTAAAGATTTTATTTTTCTAAGTAATTTCTACACCCTACGTGGGGCTCAAACTCATAACCCTGAGATCAAGAGTCACATGCTCTACCAACTGAGCCAGCCAGGCACCCCTCTAATTTTTCAGAGACTGGAAATACAGATTTTTAGGTGAAATCCCCCTAGTTTTAAATGTCCCCAAAAATGTTTTTGAGCACTGTGCCAAATAAATACACACACAGAATTCAGCCAAAGAGCTGCCAACGTAGGACCTCAGATGTATGAAAACATTTGCCACAGTAATGACTGACTGAAGGAGTAAATGCAGTGACACTTGAGCCAGGCTTGAAAGGATAAGGGAGGAGATACGAGGTGCCCAGGTGACACAGGTTTCAGTGGCGTGACAAGAACTACAGCGCTCGTCTCCATACATGTTGATTATGGCAGCTGGGCGAGACAGACGTTACACAATTCTTTTGTCTCTGCGTCTCCAGTCACAGGTGCACTCCAGCACATTCCTCATGGGATGGGGGTGGGCGGGACTTCCTTGGATGGGTTTGCTCCTGCTTCAGGTAGCAGCCTGTGATCACTCACCCTGAAACTTGGTGGCGGCCAGCTCTTCTTAGGCATGATGCAGAACTTGCCGACGCTGAAGCCCACGTTTTTGCAGATGAATCTGGTTACCTTCATTCCCCCAATGAGGCAGTAACCGCAGTCCAACACTGGTGATACTAGAGCCATAGGAAAAGATGCACAACAGAAATAACACGTGGCTCTGAATAGGCCCTGCTGCCCTTGTTCAGCTGAGGTCCAGCCAGAGCTCAGAGCAGCCGTGGAAGGATGCAGGGGCTCTGGCCCAGCATCCAGAGCAGAGAGGATGAATGGGGACACGCCATGAGCCCTGCACCCACATGGCAGCCAGGCAGCCACCGGTCTCCATGCACTGCTGGCTAGATCAACAGGAGTCTATGCTCACTGGTTTGTTTGTTTTTTTTAAGATTTTATTTATTTATTTGACAGAGAGAGAGAGAGAGAGAACAAGCAGGGGGAGCAGCAGAGGGAGAGGGAGGAGCAGATTCCCTGCTGAGCAGGGAGCCCGATGCGGGGCTCGATCCCAGGACCCCGGGATCATGACCTGAGTGGAAGGCAGATGCTTAACCGTCTGAGCCACCCAGGTGCCCCGTCTGTGCTCACTGTTGACTCAGGCCTCAGCCAGGGCCACGCAGCGTGGCCCTGGGGATTGTGGGCCAGAGTCCTGTGCCCAGCTGAAGAGGCTTGCTGCTAATGAGGGAGCCCAGCCAAAGCCAGCTTTCCCAAAGAAGCCACCCACACAGCCACAGAGGTGACATCCGCTGGGGGCCCCAGGTACCCCTTCCTTGGCTCAGTGTGGCGCAGGCCCACGCAGGGATCCAGGAGCCAGCAAAGCCTGAGCTGAGGCTAGCTAGGCTGCTGGCCTCCTCTCCTGCTGTGTGTAATTCTGAGTCAGCCTCCACTGGGAAGTAGGACAATTGGGGCCTGACACAAAGGAAGGCTGTGTGGAAGCTGCTAGCAGGTATCTCCTGAGGACCCAGAAGCCCCTGCCCAGGAGGACCAAGTCATGTGCTGCCACAAAAGGGCCCTGAGAGCAAGCAGTCTTTGCAGGGACTTGTCAACCCTAACTGAATCCCAAGGAAGGCAGAGTACACACTCACACGTCAGCACTGGGGGTGGCCTCCGGGCCTGTAAGGGGATTAGGAGTGTGTGGGCTGACTGGGTCTCGACTAAGATAAAATCATCAAAATCCCCAAGACAGTCAGGAAAAAACTGGACGATGTACTGGCAGGTCATTCCAGGAGCCACCATTCCACCTTTTCCTGGGAACATCCCTGTGCATGACAAAAGCAACAGATGAGGACCTGGGGACCAGCCAGCCACCGGGGCTTGAGTTCAAGTGCTACAGGCAGCAACCAGGGGACACAGGTAGACCCCATCACAGCTGGGCTGCTCCATAAGTAGATGCCTTCTGGGTCAAGGCCATGCTGATGGCAGAACCACCAGGGCACGCAAGGGGGACAGGCTGCTAGGGCAGGGCGTCCAGGTGAAAACACCAGGGCCCGGGCAAGTGGGTGGGGGAGTGATATGGTCCATCTGGAATAGTTAGGGGAGGCCACGTCCGGCCTGACGGCTTAGAATTTATTTTGTGGCCAGCAGAGAGCCATTTGAGCTTCTGAGCATGGTTGGGAGGGGAATGACATGACCAGAGCTATTCTTGGAAAAAGCCCTGTGTCGTGGAAGCTGGAAGGCCGGCTGGGAAGCCCCCACACTGGTTTAAGTGAGGAATGAGGATGGCTTGGCTGGGGGCACTGGCAGCACGGAGGGTGAGCAGAGGGCAGGCCCAGGGCCTGGAGGGGGCGCCTGAAGAAAGGGGCCGGCAGGACTCGGAGACATCACCAGGAGCATGGGCGGGAGCAGGGCAGGCTATCGGCAGAGCAGGAGGGACCCAGGGACTGCTAAGGGAAAGGTGGGCCCAGGCTCCTCTGACAGTCAGGTGGGCCTGTGCCAGGAGCAAGCCCCAGATACAATTTTGAGGGGGTCCAGACCACTGCTAGAATGACTCACCCAATCCCAGCGCGAAGTACGGTGTAGAAGGCGGGAGGACTCGCAGGTAGCGGCTGGTTGCCGTGGTGTTCTGCAGGGAGATCACCATCTGCCCAAAGGTCAAGGGGAGCTCTTTTAGATAGCAATGCACATGGCCAAGTGACATGAGGCCCAGACTGACTACATAATAGGGAAAGGGGATAGAGGTGCAGATGGAATGAGTCTGGGCTGGGGATGGGCACATGGGGATTCATCATGCCCCTCATTTACCTTAGATTGTATTTGGAAAAAATAAAATACAAAGTGAACATGAAGATGGCAGTAGATCTGACCTATGCTTTGCCCTCTTTAAAACAAGACCTACTGTTTGTTGAGCATCTGCCATGTGCCCCCCAACCTCACAATAACCAGGAAAAGGTGGGAGCTATCTCTATTTTATCTCGAAGAAGCTAAAGTTCAAAGAGGCACCCTAAGCACTAAGTAAAAATCTTGAGATTTGAGCCCAGGACATCCAGCTCCAAAGTGCTGCCCACCTGGCCTCTTACTTTGCTGACTTCTTCCCCACATATCCCTTTGGGCCACTTCTTCCCATGGGCCCAGTCAAGAGATGTTTGCGGGCACCTGTATGACAGGGTTGTAATTGGGCCTCCCTCCACCACTCAACCCATGCAACCCCTATTAAATCCTGCCTTCTCTTCTCCCTCTCTAAGACTGGGAGACCCCAAGGGGGCAAGGCCTGGAACTCACACACTGCTAACCCCCACCAGCACTCCGCACAGGGTCTAGCACAAAAGAGGAGCTCAGTACATGAACACATCTTTTGCTTCTCTTTTGTGAAATATTATACTGGAAAAAAATGTATAAATTATAACATGATGAAAGCCATGTTTCCATCACCCAGCTTAAGAAAAAAAAAACATTAAAAATTCAGAAGAAGCCCTACCCTGCCCCCTTGCCCTCCACCAGATAACAGCTACATAAATGTGAAGTGTGTGTCTTCATACTTTTATTCATAGGCATGTATTCCTAAGTCAACACTTGTCCAGTTTGGCCAACACAACACAACACAACACAACACAGTCCATCTGCGAATCACACCCAAGTGTGGAGAGACCCATATTATGGTTTTAATCTTCATTACTCTGTTATTAATGATAATGAGCATTGTTTCATATGTTTATTTGCTATTTGGGGTTCCTCTTGTGTGAGTTGTCTGTCCATATCCTTTTACCATTTTGCCAATGTATACTTTGTCTTTCTCTTATTGATTTGTAGCAGTTCTTGATATATTCTGGGTGCTAATTCTTTATAAGGTATATGTTATAAACATCTCCAAGTTTATAACTCATATTATCTTTTGATGTACAGTTTCTAAAATTTCAATATAAAATATATCAACTTTTTGTGGTTTGTGCTTCTGTTTCAAGAACTCTTTTGATATCTCCTATATTTTCTTCTTTAAATTTTGTTTGAGGGGCACCTGGGTGGCTCAGTCAGTTAAGCGTCCCACTCTTGGTTTTGGCTCAGATCATGATCTCAGGATTGTGAGATCGAGCCTGTGTCGGGCTCTGTGTTGGGTGTGGAGCCTCCTTAAGATTCTCTCTCTCCCTCTGCTCCTCCTCTCTCTCTCCCCCCGCCAAAAAAAAAACAAAAACAAAAACAAAACAAAAAACCAAATAATGATAATAAAATTAAATTCCATTTGAAAATAAATAAATAAATTTTGTTTGAGATCTTTGCTGAAAAGTATTTTGCTTAGGGTATGGAGTGAGGTAGGGATTAGATTATTTTCCATATGGCAAGGATGCCATCTCAGTTTTGTCTCCTCAGGGGTGCACATGTGCACGGAACAGCCTGAGCAATGGCACGTGCGGTTCCCTCCATCAGGCTGCGGTTCCCTCAGACGAGGAGCCAGGGGCACCCACTGCTGAGATTCATGGTTAAGGTGTTACCGTGGAGGCAGCCGCTCTCACATCCACTGAGGTATCAAGAGAGCCTTGCTCCAGCCACACAAGGCAGACCTCTGACCAGCAAAAGGCAGGAGCCAGCAGTTTATGTGGTTTCTGAGGGGATGTGCCATGAGACAAAACAGTCAACTGCACTCAATGGCAGACAGCTCAGTAACACACTCTCGGATTGGCTCTTCCTCCTTCCACCCCCTTTCCTCAGTCCTCTCTGGAGATGCGAATGACAGCACAGACTCTCACGGCCTCAGACTCCACTTTATGAGGCACCCAGGCTATGACAGTTGGCATCAGAAGGGTCCTAAGGCAGCAGAGCCTCAGGGTGCGAGTCTGGAGTTGGCCTTCCCGCCAGTCTGGTGGTAACCAGAACTCCAGCTGGTGGGAAGTCGGGTGTGAAGACCCCTGATATGCAGTGGCATCACAATCACCACGGCTTTCACCCACAGGCAGCTGAAATGAGGTGCAGGGGCAGGTCTGGCACTGGAACAGGGGGTGGCTTTGGTGCTTGCAAGTTCCGGGGCAGTGATAATAATGAGGACTGAAGAGTGTGCTGGCTTTCCTTAACAGCACTGGAAGCCCCAGAGGGAAAAATGACAGGCTCAGGGCAGCCAACTGCCAACTCAAGGCCCACTGTGAAGCCCTTCCTTGCATTCCTGGGTTACACAAAATGTCCTGCTGGTGCGTGTGTGGGGGTGCGTGCACGCTCATGCACAGGCCCACATGCACTTCTTGCTTGATTTGGCTTGCCATTTTTCACCTAGGATTTCTGTACCTATTTTTTTTTTCTTTCAAATGTCTTTTTTAAGTTACCAAAATACTGAAAGGGAATAAAAGAGCAACTATATGAAACCTATAGCCCCCTGGCTTATAAGGTACAGGTCTCTATTCCCACCACAACCCTTCAGCCTTCACACTCACAGCCTGGGTTCCGTCTGCCTCCATCTCAGGACAGAGAAGCTCTCTCGCAGCTCCCAGAGCCTGGGGACTGGGAGTGTACCTATGTTCTTAAGCAAGTCGGTGCATGTTTTTTATTGTTATAGCTCCTTATCTGGCTTTGGGGTCAAGGTAATATTAGGCTCTGTCTTAGTCCGTTCGGGCTCCTCTACAACATACTATAAACTGGTTGGCTTATAAACAACAGAAATTTATTTCTCACACCTCTGGAGGCTGACAAGTCCAAGACCAAGGCGCCAGCATGGTCACATTTTGGTGAGGGCCTTCTTCCTGATTCACAGCCGGGACTTTCTCACTGTGTTCTCAAAGTGGTGGAAGAGGCAAGGGATCTCTGTAGAACCTTTTTTACAAAAGCACTAATACCATTCATGAAGCCCCACCTTCATGACCTAAGCACCTCCCAAAGGCTCTACCTTCTAATACCATAGGATTTCAACATATAACTTTGGGGGGACATGAACAATCAGACCATAGCAGGCTCATCACCTAATAATGAGGGTATGTTCCTTCTTTTTCTAGTCTCTGAAACAGTTTATATATAATAGGGATTAGCTTAAATGATTGGTAGTGTACACCTGTAAAATGATCCGGACCTAGCGTTTCTTTTGCTAGAAAGTTTGTTTTTTAGTTATTTTCATCAAAGTTGGACCGCCACATAGGTTAACAAGTCAAAGGTTTTGAAAACAGAAATCCTGCTTTCTTCCCCTGAACCCGTCTCCTGCCATTTCCTGTAATACTTTTTCCTGCCTTTGGCTGATTATTTCAGAATATGTCTCCAAATGGCATGCTACTTTTTCTTAATTTGTATGCATTAATTATGGATGGATGATAGGGACATTCGCTCTTTCCTCTCCCATATCCAACTCACCATATGATATGCCCTTCCTATCCCTCACCTTCCCAATATAAGTTATATCATGCTACTTGGTTAGTACAGTAATTGGTGTTTGCATTATTGTCACTGTGTAAATGATATCCACATGAATTCATGTGAAATTTTCCCTTATATAATTATTATCCATCCAGAGTTAATAATCAATTATTTTGTTTAATATGTACTTACTAATAATTCAATCTCCCTGCACTACTCTAAAAATCTCTTCCCAAGATGTCTAGATGTATCAGGGACTCTTAATGATGTCACCCCCATAAATCAACCTCTGCTAGGACCTTCTGGCCTCTTCCAATCTGAGCTGCTTCCCTGCTATACCTACTGCTAACTCTCACCCAGGACAACCCCCGTAGCAGTTTTAAGACAGGTCTACAAGTTCTTTGACACTACTCCCATGGAGAGGTGAGGTGTATGTGGCTTCCTCTCGACTCTGGGCCAACAGCCAGTCACTTGTAACCTGTAGCATGCAGAGGAAATAGTGACTTTCTCTACTTGTCCAAGGTAACTTCCAAGGTTAGATCATACAAAGTGATACAACCTCCATCTCGCTTGCTAGGATATTCACTTAGAAGCTCTGATGCTCACTTTGAGTTGCCACGTACCATCTGATTACCCTGAGGTGGCCATTCTGTGAGGAAGCCCAGGCCACAGGGAGAATCCATGTGTAGGTGCTCTGGTAGGTGCAGTGGTCTACTGACAACCAACCACTCGCTGTGCAAGTAAATATGCCTCAGATAATTCCAGCTCCCAGCTTTCAGGTCACCTCTAGGCATACACTCTTTATAGCTAAGGACTCCAACAACATGGAATAAGCCATTCCCATTGTGCCCTGTCTGAATTTCTGATCCAAAGAATCTGGAGCATGATAAAATGGCTGTTTGAAGTTGCTAAGCTTTGGGGAAATCTGCTTTGCAGCACAGCAACCGGAAACTCACTTAACCATTAGGGATCTGGGGATTTCCTTCACCTCTCTCCTATGTTGGATCCTTTGTTTCCCACATACCAGGCCTTCCTCTTCCTTGGCTTACTGGCTTGTAGGAGAGCATGTTCCCTAGGAGTTTCCTGAGGAAAGTGCATGGGACATACATTTGTAAAAACTTTACAAACTTGGGCGCCTGGGTGGCTCAGATGGTTAAGCATCTGCCTTCGGCTCAGGTCATGATCTCAGGGTTCTGGGATCGAGTCCCGCATCGGGTTCCCTGCTCCTTGGGAGCCTGCTTCTCCCTCTGCCTCTCTCTCTCTCTCTCTCTGTCTCTCATGAATAAATAAATAAAATCTTTTAAAAAAATTAAAAAAAAA